GAATTAAAAATCAAATAGCTATGAGACAAGGATCAATACCAGTAAGCAATTATTTGGATAGGTTGAATCAGAATAGTGAACATAATCATAATTATATCAAATATAATGTACAATGCATCTGGTGTACTTGTAAGCATATGAAAATTTGATCAGCATCATAGCAAATTAAAATTTTTTTTTTGCCTTATTAAAGCATATTTAGTTATCTACATAATCATAATTAGTGAACATATCTACATAATGTACGTGATTTTTTTTCCTTACTGAAGCATATCTACATCATAAAGAAATAGCTACTAGTTACTAAAGTTTCACACATAATAGTGGTGTGAGGAGGGCACCGGTGGTCAGTCGACCACCGAAGAGAGAAACCATGTCAGGATCTGAGAGAGAAAATTCGAGAAACAGAACTAGTGTGAGGGGATAAGGTTGCCGTAGAGAGATGGAAGGAAAGTAATTGGCTTATATATATATATATATATATATATATATCTATATATATATATATATATAGATAGATATATATATATATATATGGTTATAAAGGTAGTTTCATAGTATAAGGCGAGTACGAGTACCCACGGGCACAGGTAGTACGAAACCTGCCCCTGTCCCTATTTATTTGTGGGTTTTAGAAAAATCCGTTTAACACATTTGCAGGTACCCAAATCTGCCCCGCAATGGGTAATACCTGCAGGTATCCACAGATTCAAATATTTTTGCCATCCCTAATCCTTAGTATAAAGACTTGGTGAATTGTTTGGCTGCCAAGGAAATTTCTATATACTTTTCCAAAGTTCAGACTGCCAAGCTAAAGAGTGATTCCAAATACTACATTTAGGATGATATATACTTGTGGAAGATGTGCAGTGACAAGGTTATTAGACAATGTGTGCCTGAACTTGAGTTTCAGTCTGTGCTTAGATTTTGTCATTCATTGACTTGTAGTGGACACTTTGGACCTTAATGTACAGCCCGAAAGATATTAGATTCTGGACTATATTGGTCTACCATGTTCCGGGATGCATACAACTTCTATAAGACATGTGAGTGATGTCAAAGGACTGGGAACATCTCGTGCTGGAATAAGATGCCCCACCTACCTCTCCTTTTCTATGAGGTGTTTGATGTATAAGGTATAGATTTTATAGGTCTTTTTCCTGTTTTATTTGGTTATGCCTATATTTTTGTTAGCAGTAGACTATGTCTCTAAGTGGGTGGAGGCAAAGGCCACTCATACTGATGATGCTTGTGTTGTTATAGATTTTGTGAAGTCATATATTTTCTGCAGGTTTGGATTTCCCATAGCATTAATCAGTGACTAGGGATCACACTTTTGCAATTGCACAATAGATGCCCTACTTTAAAAGTTTGGGGTTATGCTAGAGTTTCCACACCATATCACCCTCAAACTAACAAACAAGTGGAGATCTCCAATTGAGAAATAAAGCAAATCCCAGAGAAGACTATCCAACCTAATAGGAATGATTGGAGTCTGCGCTTGGAGGAAGCTCTGTGGGCTTACAGGACTGCCTACAAAACACTCATAAGAATGTCCTCTTATTGGGTTATTTTTGGCAAGGCATGTCATTTACCAGTAAAAGTGAAGCATAAGACATTTTGAGCGATCAAGCAATGTAATCTGGACATGGGGCAGCTGACTCACATAGAAAGTTTCAATTACAAGAGTTGGAGGAGAGTCGTAGAGAAGCATATGAGAACTCTAATATCTACAAGGAGCGTACCAAGGCTTTTCATGATAAGCTAATAGGGCATAAAGAGTTCCACATTGGTCAAAAAGTCTTGTTATATAATTCTAGACTTAAGTGGATGCCTGAAAAATTAATATCTAAATGGGATGGTCCCTTTCTTGTTGTTAATGTTTTTCCTTATGGTGTTATTGAACTACAGGATATGGGATCTCAAAGGAGCTTCAAGGTTAATGGGCATCGGCTCAAGGTTTTTCATGAGGACTTGTCAGAACATGCATAAGAGGAGGCCACTTTTGAATTGACCACCTACCCCAATTTATAGGGAGTTTTCTTACATCTCTCTCACTTATTGGATTGTTTGAATTGTCCTTATGCTTATTGCGTCTCCATTGAGAACAATGTTAATTTAAAGTGGGGGGAGAGTATTATGTTTTTGGTGTGTAAATAATCTATTCAACTGATTATTTCATGGCTTTGACGGATTGATTAAATTATTTTTTGATTTGATAGGTGGACTTTGATATCTTGTGTGTTGAATTATTTGTGATAGAATATATACCTTATGAGGTTTTGAGCCATGTAGATGACAATATCATATCATTTTACTGTCTTTCATTGTGTGATTGCACTCATTGTTGTATGACACTAGAACTTGCTTTGAGCCTTTTTGAGACTATATTTTCATATGCTTGCATTAATATGATAATGTCATTATTTCCTTCTTGCAAACTACTAGTCAAAAAGTCAACATTGCAGTATTTCCATTGTTTGAGTCCCTTTGAGCCTAATTGACCTATTTCTTGTTATCCTAAATCATGCCAAAGGCATAAAACAATAACATGACCTAACCTTAGGGGATACAAGAACTTTGAAATTGTTTTTGGAATAATCATAGAAATAAGTGTAGGGGAAATTACCTTAAAAATGCAAGAGAAAAGAAAAATTAGCTCCTTAGAAAGGTCAAAATTACCATGTCATCCCCTAAGTTGCTATCAACTGCATTACTTTGCCTAAGGAAGTTTCCTGATGCAGCTTATGGGAAGAGTCAACTAAAACTCCAAATCTTGACCTTGTAGGTGATTCCTTATTCCTCCCATTAGAAGTACTACTTCCAAAGTTCTAGGTTGCCCAACTATTTTCCTGAAAGGCTTCTTGACCAATATCTAGGGCCCAAATTTACTTAGCTCTTCTACAGACTTACCTTCCTACACCTCCTGAGAACTTTCCTTAGAACAAGAAACTGAAAAGACAAGTTCCTCTTTGTTATTCATGGCAATGTGCTAGTGTTTATATCCAGGTTCATTCTTACCTAAATAGATATTGGGGTTGTCAACACAGTTTTCTAACTTATGACCACACTGCCCACAATGGAAACAGATGAGGTGCAATCCCTCATATTCAACCATAAACTCCTGACCTAAAACCTTAAAAGAGGAGATAAATTTTTTACTAAGGTCTAATTCTATGCATATTCCAGCAAACCTATCCCTAGCTAAAAGAGAAGTGTGAGGATCAATTTTAAGCATTGAACCTAAGCAAGCCCCAACCTGCTAGAGGAACTTTTTATTATACAACTCAAGAGGTAAGTCAAGAATGCGTATTTAGGAAGCTATCCCCCTAAAGGTATGGTTTTTAGGCCAAAATAAGGGCCTCCATCTCTAAACTAACAGGTAGTGGTCCAATATAAGTCAAGGTCCCTCAAAAAAAGCATATTTATAATCTTTTAAGCTCTCAAACTTAACTAGAAAAAAGTTATTATTGAAATCTAATATTTTCAAACTACCGTTCTTTCCCTAAATATTATTAAGCTTTTGACTCAAAAAGTTAAAGCTAGTGAATTTACCTAACAATTTAACTATCAGAGTAAGTTTTCAAGGGTTGCACCATGTTTCATAATCTTCCAAAGGAACTCTTAGTTCAAGACAGAGAAGTTGATTCTCTTGATTATTTGTTACCAGTTCTTTTGTATCCAGAGGAATATTAAAATCCCCCATGACAAATCTGATGATATCCTCATCTCCTAAAACTAGATCTAGGTCACTACCAGAGATAACCTTCTCTTTATACGACATACAAGATAAATAGTTAGAGTTAGAAAACACCTGAATCATTTTGTCATCAACTAGAGAATCTTCCTGCAAATTGTGCTCTAACTCATCTCCAACGAGTATTGAGATTCATTTAACTTTCTTCTTACTACGAAAGAGGAGATCCACCTCTTCCGTTGATCTTTCCTCTACATCTGAGCGCTCCATTTGTTCTTGCAAGTCTTCAGAAAGGAGGGATTGGAGGACGAAGCCCTTCCTTACACTGCTAGAAATCCACCCAAGGTGCGGTAATGACTAAGCAGAACAGACGAAACGAAAGGTTAAGAAAACCCTATCAAAAACCCGTTCTTGGATTGAAGGGAGAGATCTTGGAGAACAATCGCAAAGGACACATAGCATTAACCAAAAGTTGTTTAGACACTTTAACTCTCCTAATTTTAAACATGCATAAACAATTAACATAAAATGCAAAAGTAATAAATAAATAAATAAAGGTATTACAGTATTAAATTAAGATAGGTCCATTATGAGTTTAAGATTAGGTATACTTTTAAAATTTTGATATAAAATGCACAGAAAAAAATTTGTGAACGTTCTAAAACATCATTGTCGAGACTTGATTTGATTATAAAAACATTATGTTTTGTCACAAATGAGATGAATAACTATCTCAATAGATGATATAATTTAATATGTATGTTTTGTTATAAACGAGATTATTTAATATGTATATTTTGTTATAAATGAGATAAATAACTGTCTTGATGGATAACATTACTTAATATGTTCTATCAAATTCAGCCAAATTATTGATTGTTTTTATCTTCCAAGAGAAATTTTTTTGTTTTGAAAATTGACCTAGATCAGTGATTGCAAAAATTCTTCCAATAGTCTTGATGGAATATAGCGTACCATAATAAGCCTAACGATCATAGTCGCCATTTTTTTTCTTATGGACTTCAATTCTAATATTACAAATATTTATGATTCGATGTTATATAATAATATGTACAACGCACTGGAAGAAATGTGCGTGATTATTAATTTCAAAAGGTAGTAAACAAATAAGTAAATTGTGCTCGCACAAACGAATCTGTCCTCATTATACACGGGATCTATAAATGGTATACACCATATTAGAGCACAAGCAACATTCCAGATAGAAGATTTGCATAGAAGTTCCCAAGACAGTTATTCATGTACACCAATCGGCCATACCCAAACTTGCGACCAACAGATAAATACAATATACTGTAAAGACGCGCATATAGGATATATTTGTTTAGAACCATTTGAAGTACAATTAGTATAAGGAAACTTGGGGAATCTAACTAAAGAACGTAACACTCATCTTGAACACCTAAACAGTTGGCTAACCATCCAAAAATTCATCTAACAAAAAATCATATAAAATCATAACATTTACTATGTCGATCCACATTGCTCTCGAGGGTTTCTTCCTCAAACTATATTACATCAAACACCTTTGAATAACCTGACCAGCACTAAATCCCACAAGAATAGAGTTATCGAGTCTGAATCTTCCTTTACACATTTCTCTCAACAAATTCTTGAAAGAGCACCAAGTGAATTGTCTACTCTCTCAAGTTGTATCAGCATCCGCTGTAAAATCTGAGGCTTCAATTCTAAGTTGCATATACTTTACCTTCCCCTTAGAAAGTACCGCGAATCAGACTTTGGGGAATGGTAGCTCTTTGGGGATTCTGATAGCAATTCATGTCCTTTATTTTCTGGGGTTGAATTACTACTAGTCGAAACATCAGATGTGTGAAATTTTCCAAAAGGAACCTGCACGTTAAAGAAATTTGAAAACCTAAGCAAGCTATTCCAGGTTATTTGAAATTTTTATCAGTCAAAGAATAAATGCCGCACTACTTGATCACTGCTTGAACCATCAGCTTTAGCTGTCTTCAACCATTTCACAATGGTTATGCAGCTTGACCTGGCTTCTTCATCCTTGAAGTTTTGATCAGAAACCTCTACAAAAAAAAATATCAAAATGTATAATGATTGAGTTACTACTAAACAAAAAATTTACAGAACATATTGAACAACCTTGTTAAGTGCCCAAAATTTTCTCAAGATGCTTCAATAGTCTTGCAAAAATAATTTGAAACCATAGTGAGGAAGAAATGAACCTTTGCTCCCACTCACGTTAAGGACCCAAAAAAACTCATTTGAAACAAATTTCAAATCTTGATATTTGTTATTTCACAATATACTGCTTTTCAAAAATTACAAGCAACACACTTTATTCCATCCATGGATGACCAAATAGCTCCCTATTTCAGTCGAGGTATTGATTTATGTCTCGCAAAATGGCATAAATCAGGTAAAAAAATGTAAGATAACAACAAATTTCTGCCAGTTCATTGCATTCAATTCATACTTGAGTTTGTACAACATGTGACATGGTTCACAAGGAGGAGAACAAGGATACTTGAGTTTGTACAACATGTGACATGGTTCACAAGGAGGAGAACAAGGGCACAGATATCATAGTAGTTTTATAAAATCATTGCATGTATGAGATACAAAAGCTTTGCATGGGATCAATAAATTACCCACATTAAATACAATTCTCAAAGCATAAAAAAGCAACTATACCTATGAAGGAGAGCATCATAATCTACTCACCCACTTTTGATTCCCCACTTTCGTCAGCAAAAGAAATTATTTTAAAAGTATTACTATCAACTTAATTATATAACATAATTTTAACAAGTACAGTTTGACAACCAACAGTGTATATGAGACTAGCATAAAAAAGCTTTTACAGCAGGTAAATTCAGAATTAACTGATACACAGCCTCCTTTCTGCCATGGTTCAAACCAAAGATCATTTAAGAACTCCCCTAAAAACTCAGCACCCCTGGGTTCTGTGAACTTCACCGAACAAAAGAACTTGATAATTTAAGTACTGATGAAACTATATGCATGAACACTGAGAGTGAGAAAGGAAGGACATCTGCATGCATATGACATGGCAACAACAGTCTATACAACAATGAGCAAGAAACAATAGGATGATATAAAGTATGAAGTATCATTATGTAGCCTACAGGATAGCTGACATGCATAAGGAAAATATATTTCAACTTACCTGTAGTACTGGAAACCATATCTGGTTGCAATGAGCAGCATATTGGTTGCTTCTCTAAACTTCTTGATGACCTTTTGGTGAATGTTGAACTACATCTTGCATGAATATCCTCGTTAGAAAGCAAGCAATGGTTGTAGGTATTAGGCTCTCTCAAACTACAGCTTCTATCAACAGATCTAAGTTTGCATTGACTTCCTGCAAGAACATGAGAATCAGCTGTGCTCTCTAACATAGGTGCAATTCTTTTAAGGTTGATCTTCTTCTGGCAGCCATCTTGTTGAGCCAGAGACTGAAAGCAACAAAATATAATAAGGCTTGATTTTGCGGAGAAAAACACAAAAGTTAACACACATCCACACATCAGAGATGCTATTTGAAATCTATGTCTGACCTGCCTAGGCATATTAAGTGAATTTTGCATAGTCCTACATTTATGTGCTTCATCTGTGTTATTCTGTATGATCCACCCCCGTAAACGCATAGAACGATGCAGTTCATTCACAAACGAGGCCTCTAATGAACTAAGATATCGACTGTGCTGCTTATCTGTCCATCTTGTCGACTGGTCCTGGAAAAAACTTGAGTTTAGTATTTCCTTGCCAACTAACTGAAGAAAAGCAGCATTGAATACAATTTAAAATTGTCAATTTCAAGCTCTATCATATTTATAAGTATAAGCAATCAAGCATATATCAATAGCATTTTGAAAATTAGTTGCAACAAGAGATTTAAAATTCATATCGAAAATAAATGAGAAGGTCTATAAAATTAATAAATTCAATTATAATTCTTATAACCAAGACTAGATAAATTCAATAGTATGAGCCACTCAAAAAAGCATTTAAATGATTCTTCATCTAAATGAAATCTCTCACGATCTATGAGTTTCACATTGACCTAATTAAAGTTTCTTGAGTATTTCTTATGAACTTCCACTAACACAAATCAAGCTTTTTAACATGAATCTGAGTTGAAGTTACAAGAAGAAAAGGATATAAGAGAACATTATCACTAAAACAATACATACAAACCAAAAGCACTCCACTTGATGCTACAGAAATAATTTACTAAAAGATATTTCCCAGCAACTTCCCAGTGAATTCTCTTAATTAGATACTCAGTTATCGTACATAATTTAAACCAAATAGATAGCACGTTAAGAGGTATAAGAGATTAAGAAACAAGGTTCTAAAGCCTCAGCAACCAAGAGCAACCAATAATATGGCTAAAATGTTCGCAAATATACAACACGATTATTGATTTCAATTACTTGACGATCCTCACCATATTAGTAGTATTCTCGATTTTTTCTCCTGGTTTCAGATTTCAGATATTCTCGACTCATTAATTGGTGAATTTAACGACCAAATGTCGGAAACTAGCTTGTACACGATTTACAAAACATAAAACCGCGCCATGGAAGCTTGAACACCATGCAAAGCACAATTTCGAGCATAAACACCATAAAAGAGAAACGCAAAGGCGCTGAAAAGACATAGAATCCAAACGGATAATTATAGACGCGGTCTCATCCCGCTAAGCAAACACACAGCGGGATCAACCTCTGAACACGCAAGTTCTGACCACAAAATCGAAGCCAAAAAAGAAAAACGAAAACGAAATTGGAAAATCTAGCGCAAAAAAAAAAATCGAAAAGGAGAAGGTAAAACGAGTGAAATTACCAGAAACGGAGCGGGCGAGCAATGATGCGAGAAATCTTTGGAGGCGGTGTCAACGGTGACGGCGGAGGAGCGGGAGGAGGAGCGAGTGAACTCGGGCAATGAGTCTGGATCGGAGGAGAACGGCGGAGAGTGGAGACGTAGATCCTCCTCCATGGTGCGTGAGAGAGTGATCGGAATTTTAGCGGAGAAGAAACCCTCTGGGTTGGGTTCTGGGGAGGATGTATTCCGGGGCAAAAAGGACTCCACATGGCGTCGCTTTTACACGTGTCAGTGCCGCCGTTGGGGTGCCACGTCATCAGCTAGATAATATCTTGGGGTAACGTGAGCCAGATATTTTTGAAGGGTCGTTGTAGAGCGAGAGTGCACAATGTGCGCAGTTATTGGCGCGTGTATCTCATGCCCTGTTTTGCGTTGCGTATCAGCACCCCACATGACGCATTTACTCGTTTTCTATTTTTTTTATTTATTTTGGGTTATGTCACCTATTAAATATTAATCTCGTTTTACATTATGCATTTTAAAATATACTGACACCAGGACTACGTTAATTTCAATTTTCTAACCAATATTTCGACTCTTTTTAGTTTAGCGCAAATTCATAAACGGAAATAAGTGTTGAGAAGTCACACTTATTACAAATCCACTGCTTTTAAAAGTTACAAAAATTAATTAGCTGGAAATCTGATGATGCGCGGTGAGATCAGGGAGCACTAAGATGCTGTTTTTCCGTAGAAAATAAGCCAAAGGTTCTATTTCTGGTCTCTGTGTGTGTACCCACCCTGTTAACAAGTTAAAAGTAGTTTTTTTATTAAAATAAAAATATTTATAATTTTAGAATTATATAAAATATTTAATTTAATGTATTTAGTTCTTTTAAGATGTGCTCTTTACATGTATTAAGAAAAAAAATGTTATAAATAACTTTTTAAAAATATAATTAAGTACTATTTTAGGTTTATTTATAAAAGATGAAAACTTGAGTCATCAAAATCAATAAAACTTATTGCATGTCATAAATTTATACTTTATTTTAAAAATATTTTTAAAATATGTCATATATATTAAATGAATAAATGTATTTATTTATATAAATAATAAATAAATATAATGTTAATACAAATCTCACAATAAATAAGAATATAAACAAATTAATAATTAATACATTTAAAATTGAATTTTTATTTTTTAATTAAAACCAAAAAAATATTAATAATTATTTTTATAAACGGAATTGGAGGAAGAATGTCATTGAAATGTGATTTGCTTAAATAAAAATTTATTATTAACTTTTAATTAACAATTTAAATGTCGTTAATACTTTAATAGTATAATTATGAATACTTTTAAATTATTCTACCTTTTATGTCTGTAAATTATTTTTAGTATTAATATATATTACTTAAAACATACTTTATAAAATAATAATAAATAATTAAAAAATAATAGAGCTCTATAATTATACAATTAAATAATAAATAATTATAAACTCTCATGTAACTTCCTCTCGCAGGTATTCTTACTTGTTAAATAAAAATAATTAAATATATTTATATATTTTTAAGACATTAAATGCACCCACAACCATCCTTAATATTTATCTTGTAAAGTATAATTAAAAGATTGATAAAAATTTGGATTTTTTTATAAATATAAATATTAATATGTATGTACATGCTCGTCTATTTAAGAATACTCAAGAAAAAGGTTAACTGTATAACAAAATGAACTATGTTCATTTGGGCCAACATGTTATAAGCCATAGGTTTTAGGACGAATAAAAAAATATAATTCAGACATGTAAAAATGGTCTCAAAGCGAGCAAAATATGACTTTCTAGTGGCTTAACCTATATCAGATTTAATCAAATTAAACAAGAAAAACTCAAATTTAATTTAGGCTTAAAATTAAATTTAAAGTCTAAAAAATATTTTATTTGGATATTACTAATCTAATATTGAAATATCCAGCCGAGGAGAATCACATCTTAACGATGATTTTGTTACAATTTGTTCCAATGTGACACGCGTTCCTGAACAAATTCAACGGATGAGCTTTCTTCCAACACTAGTCCAAATGTTATTTGATGGAAGAGGATATATCTTACTTTCAGTAGAACTGAATTTTAACATTAAAATAAACAGGTTCTATCTTCTTCTTGATCGGATGAGGTGTAACATTGATGGGTCAGTAATCAGTGATAAGCTTAAAGCTAGTTGTGAAGGTGTTTTTTGTGACTATCGAAGTTTAGAAGTTGGATTTTGCTACAAATTTAGGATTTTTTAGTATTTTCATAGCAGAGTCATGGGATACTTTTACTGTTCTGCAAATAGTTCGGAAAGGTTTTAAGAACCTTCGGATTGATTCAGATTCTGCTGTTGCTGTGCAATTTTTTTATTTATGGTTGTATTTATTCTCATCTCATCCTTATGCTCTTATGGTGGATGCTATACCCAATTGATAAATAGAAATTGAATCAAGAAGAAAATTAAGTTCCAGATGCTATTTCTAGATTATCTCACTCTTATCCAATGAGCCTTCATATATTACATAATAAATAAATAAACAAACAGATTCTTTGACAATATTTAAAACAGGGCAACAAATTATACAATTTCCTTTCATAATAATATTATTATAACTCTAAAATCCTTGTCACAACATAATGTAAGAACGGAACAAATGGTCGAAACCTCTCCCAACATATGACTAGCTGAATGAATAAATACAGGTATGAAATAGACGGTGCATATCAATTTTAAATTGGTTTATGATGGATGGATTGAAAATAAAATATTAACTCATTTATAATTTACTAAAATTATCAAATATTTGTTTTTCGATAAAATTTAAAAAAATAAATGTTTTAATTATAATATATGACTTAGGGAGAGAGATAGGATTGATTTTGAGTTATGAAAAAAGAAAAGAACATAATAAATAATCTTTGAATACTGACCTCGATGAATTCAACGTTGGAAATTTTGTTGGCTTTTGGTATGAGTTTGTTAATTCAATGAATTTGGTCCATGTAAGTAGTCACTGCCTCACATATTTTGGCATGGAATAAAATGAATTTGCATGATTTATGCCTTGCTGTCAAAATATGACAAACTTAGAGCACGTTTGTTTTAATTTTTAAAGAGTTTTCTTTTTTTAAAATTAAAAAATACACTTATTTTTTGTTTTTAAAAAAAATTAAAAATTAAAAAAACCATGCTCTTAATATTTGACAAGAGTAATAGAAAAAAAGAAATTTTGATAACAGTTTTGGGACTACTACGAACTATTACACTCACCTCCATTGTCTTACTTTCCAAAATCTCCTTTCTACTCACCATAAAAATGTGTTCTACTAAGCCTATTGTAGATTTAATACATGGGAATTAGGTATGGAAGAAGGCAACTAAGTGAAGAGAGGAGAGGGAGTTTTGCAAACCGTAATGTGCAAATAATAAAGGGTGAAGAGGAAAGCGAGGAGAAGAATGCAAAGGTTGTAGGGTCAACAATCGACATTTTCTCCTCAATTGTGTTTGAGGTCTCCAAATTGCTTTAAGCTTTGAACTCAATTGTCATTCCCTCTAACAACTCCTTTAAGCTTCCCTTCAACATATTTCCACTATCACTAACCATTTAAAAGATGTCAAATGACTTGTTCATTGGGGGCAGGCACAATGGCCTTTAGCCCATGCTCAATTTGGTTCATGTGAGTAGTCACTGGCTCACATAGGCTTTAATAAGGATGACTACATTGTCCCATGGATAGGAAATTAGATAAAAGGAACAAAGAATGATATTGTTCAACGAGGGTTTGAAGGAAGAAACGAAAAAGAATATTGGAATGAAATGTATGCTATGGCATGATGGTAACAAAGAATATGCTTCATCAAAGGTAAGAATTTAATGGCACATATTTTGCTTACTAGAGGCTTAGGTAAAAATAAATAATTTTTTTCTATAGTGTTATTCAAGTGGTCTCAATAAACTCATTTTTTTTTCATTAACACACTCTTATCTCTTTTTCAATAATATTCAAGAGAGTGAGTGTACTGAAAGCTTGATTGAATAGATAAAAATGCAAGTGATTAAATTCTAACAAAATAGAAGAACAAGATAATAAAAATAAACTTGCAATAAATGTAAAGAGATAAGGGGAGAAAAAATAAAAACTCAATTTTTACTCGTTTAGTCATCGCTTATGACATATATTCAATTTCCAAGCAATTCACTTGAGTTTTGACTAACTTTTAAGTCTATATAATATAACAACACTCTTACATCTTGGAATCTCCCACCAGTTTACACAATTTCAATAAAGAATATAAGAAATCACTTTTTAGACAAATGAGTTATTATAAATTGAAGCACTAGAAAGTTTCTAAAAAAATAAGAGCTTTTACCACAAGTTTGATAAAAAGATTGAAGATTGAAAATAAGTGTTAATTGATTTTTTTTAATATGTTCTATTTTTTAATTATAAAATATGTTAAAAGAAAGATATTTATTGACAAAATTGTGTACACGGTTAGGAGTTAATCACAAAAAATATATCTCTTCAAAACATATTTATTTAACATTTTTAAGTCTCAAAATCGATTAATAGTTTAAATTTGAAATTGTCAACAGTCATGTTTTATAATCGAGTCCAATAATCAATTATATAGGGAAAAAATTCAAATTTTGGGTAACATGATAATTTAAACATTTCAAAATTTAAAAAACTAAATATCAAACATAGTTTAAGTCATTTTTTCACCTTAAAAACACTTTTAAACATTTTTTGAACCTTTTTTTAAAACAATTTTTTTAAAATCAAACTTATTCTATATTTTTTAAAAAGAACTTGATTAAAAAAGAGTTAAACCTAACTTGCAAACTTTAATTAATTTAACAAAGGCCAAATAATCTTATTAAATAATATTTTTTAACAAAATAATATAAATCTTTGAGAAACTTCATGTTATTATGCTCTTATCTTTTTGTTATTTACCTTTTTTAGCATCATCAAAATCTATAACATAAATATTTATACATAAGTTTAATCATAAATTACTAATCTTGAATGCAACAAAAAAAATTACCTTTAACCAATAAAAAATAACATGATTGATGGTCCAAAACTTAAATGAATTATTGTATAATCACCTAACCTAAAATCTATTTTTTAGGGTAAACCTTTTAATAGATTAGCCACGACATCTTATAAT